TAACAACTAATATTTTTGAATTGGGGTAGGGTAAGGATTGATATATAAATATTGGGATATAAAATATAAAATCTATTATTATCTATAGGTTCACTAGATGAAGATCTATACTTAAGTAGCAGACAGAAGTAATAAGCTAATAGCTATTCATGGAATGACCACCAGGAGAAAATTTTAATGTACCTTTACTGGAAGTGATGTATTTGTAACTTTGAAGATGATAATTATATAGTCAACTTGATGCTGCACACTCATTCCAAGTTTTGCGAAATTCTACTAACAATAATAAGTTTGTCTCCGCCTGCATGGATAAGAAGGATGTGAAAAGTCTTGAAGAGCAGCAGCAAAGTAGAGAGAAAAAAGATTCAACAAGGAGACAGGAGCTAAAACTTGTGGTGAGGATATAAATATTAATAAACACAATGTATTTTTTGATCAGAAAATGGATCTTTAGTTATGAACGAATAGAAAAAGTTGCAAAATTGTTGTTATATGCAAATAACAATATATAATGCTTATAAGGAAAGATACACCCTAACCTCGAAAGTAGCCTTGACAAGCAAGAAATTTTGATTGCTATATAATACAGCAATTAAGTTTTTGGTAATATATTGCAGTGTGTTAACTATGCTCAACATGTGGCGTTTGGTTCACAATTAAATGTAGATATTCTCCATTATAGTAACTAATGAGACTTTATCAATCATATGTATTAATATAATTAATTATGTATCTACATAGCCACTTATGATGGTTGTTGATTATTAATGGAAATAAAGTGATGCCGTGTAGGTTTTGGGTAGGAGTGGAAGTGCAGCTGGGAAAAATCATTTGTGGGCGTTTCATCTTTCTTGTTTGTTATGCCTTGATCGTTTCGCTCATCTATGGTTAAAGTGATAGCATGTCTCTAAACGACTGTTGTAGTGTACATATTCTGAGATAAGCATAGAGTCCCAGCACCGAATTGATCCATAGCTTTGATGAAATTTTTTAGCCAAATCGAGCTTTAGATGCAGTGGAGGCAAAATATCTTTTCTGGGATCTACAAGCGGATTTCAGGAAAGCACAGTTAAACCTTCCAGGCGCATCTCTTGGTCTTGTCGGCCAATCCTTTCTCACATAGTGCTCTGCATCAGCTCTGCTGTTCCATATTTAAGCACAAAAAGCACATGTGCTTTGTGTAGGCACTCTGAAGGCCCAGTAGTAAACTGGATGAAGATCTAAATAAATAACAGAGCTATTCAGCACTTCTTCCCAATAACCACCACCAAGGAGAAGAATTTTAATATACCCTTCACTGGAAGTGATGTATTTGTGACTTTGAAGATAGTGTATAGTAGTAGGGTGTGTCATACGGAGGCGAATTTTTTTTTTTTGAGTTTGAAAATCGGCCCATGGTATTAATGATGTAGTTCTATGTGCAGAATCATGTGATATCTTCAGATTTGAAAAGTTTTTCATATTTTTTGCTAGGTAAATTTTAATTAAATTTATACCCAAATTCAGTATTCTACCCTTTTACCAATACTACTAAATAGCTTATTTAAAGTAAAGTAAATGTATCAGGTTAATTTATTAGGATGAAAATGATCCAGAATAGTGAAACTAATGATCTTGACACATTTATTAAATTTAATATTCCTTTTAGAAAAACAAAATCATCAAATACAAAACTTGGTTTTACTACTACTTAATTCGGGTAAGTTACAAAACAATTATAGAGAACATGTCTTTCTTGCTTCTGTTTGTACTCATCACCTCCCTAAGTTGACCACCTGAGCTCGATGTAGCCTTCCCTCCTCTCCTGGTTGTACATGACTGCTGGCTCCTCGCTCACTTGCTGCATGGCTAACGCCTATACTCTGGGTGTGCGAGGTCAGACAGGGCTACGCATGGGGTTGTCCAGGAAAGCTCTGACTTGAACATTGGTGAGGTTGCAGGTAAGAGGGGCTCACTGCCAGCCTGGATGTTATCCAGATCTATGAGATCAGTGAGGGTCTTGGCACCTAGATTGACTTCAGGAGTCTTCCTGACCCTAAAGGAATCGTCAACAACTGATTCGTCATGCCCAGATCCTCTCATAAGTCTCATATCCAAGATCTTTTTGACTGACACTCTTCTCTCCTCCTTCATCCTTACTGCAGAGCATTGTCCCAGAACTGCCTCGATGAGCATACCAGGAAGATCTCCTCACAGTTCGTTCCAAGTACCAATCTGAACAACCTTCCTTTTGGCTGACTCTCAGGAGCCTGGTTGGAAGAGAACATGCCTCGACCTTCGGAGAACGATGACTGACCTTATGTTAACCAATTTGGCAAGTAGACACTCACGATGAATTGGACAATAAGTCTCAGGTTGTGAAGCTGGTTCCTTTCAGTTTATGATGAGCGACCCAAATTCTGCAGAACCTGGAGAGCTGCTAGAGCCACCTAGAATGTGAGACTGACCTATCTGCAGGTAAGCAAGTCTATCAGGCATGACCCCCAGTTTTGATGGCACTGCAAATCATGTAACCATAGTGTTCGGTCAGTACTCAGGTCGTCAATGACAGTATGTGCAAGCTCAACGAGTGGAGGGCCAATCCAGATTTTTCAAAGCTCGGATTTATTTCTAACTCAGTGGCAGAGTCCAGCATCTTGCCAAGAGGACCAGACCATCTGTTACATTTGAAAGAGTCTTGCCATCCAGCCCTGGATCAGATGTCTGGAGTGGCAACTCGTTGCGGAGGTCACAAAACAATCCAGACCAGCTTCCTCCCAATCTTCCGCTCTATCCACTGTATGACCCCTTGCCACCTCCTGTGTTCGTGTTGGTGATGTCCTCCAATGGCCTGCAGGGTCTGGTCTACGTTCCTCTCTGAGCCAGTTCACAATGTTATCTGCCACTATCTCAGCTGGTTTCCTGATGTCATCTTTCTCTGGAGTGAAATGCCACAAATACTTCCCCCTCCTGGTTCACTGCAGCAGGAGTAGTGTTCCTCCTTCACCATGGCAGGGAACAACTTGTCAGAATCTCCAACTTTCATGAACACTTTTAGTGTCATCCCTTCTCCCATCAAAGAACAAACAATTGATTCCATTTTTCTTATCCTTATCAAACTCCTCTTCTAGGTTACATTGACAAGTTTTCCTGAGCTCTCCTTACTTTGTTATGATTCATCACCAGGTGAACATCATCAGGTGTTATTAAACCACCGTCAATCCAGGCAGTTGTTGCTATCTCTGCTTCTCTGAGACCAGTGTGGTGTCGCATGCTGGCCAGAGCTATGCTCGGCTATCTTTCCTATTTCTGAATCTTATGCCTGGAAGGTTTGGGATCATTATTTTCTGGGTTAGGACAAAGTCACCATTCTCCTGGTCAGCACTCGGATCAGCCATGGGGAAGTCATTAAACTCTGAATCAGCTTGACTCCAATCATCGGCCTTTTTTACTCCTCACCCTGGGCCTTCTCAAGCTCCCTTTTCCTCTTTGCAACTTTCTCCCTCTTCTGTCTCTGTGGCAGCCTCCTGTCTCTTGACTCGGAATATCTTGGCTAGAAATCATGAGAGCCCCTGTACTGCCAGTCTTTCTCTGTGCTTTGACAAATGCCAGTTCGATCACAGGAAATCTTCAGTTCACGCTTTGCAAATACAGGAGATGTGGGCCTCGAATTTACAGTCACGATCGCATCCAAACCCAGGACAGAGAACAATTAAGCACTTGTAAGTAATTATGTCAATAATCAAGTCCAGTTGCTTGGCAAAGTTGTCCTTAATCAGCAAGTTTTCCTCTCCCAAGAGAGATATCTCTTGCTCTTTTCCTGAACTGGCTAGCAGTCTCTCACTAATCTTCTTCTGACTTGTTATGACTGAGGCTTGAACTGAGCGTTAGCCAGAGGTACTTCCTGTGCCAAGACAGTTTTGGTCATATTTCACTGGCAATGTCTTTGTTTGTGTAAGTTCTTGTCTTCTTTTTCACTGACGGCTTGATTAAACCACTGTATCTCAAAGCATCTCTCAATGTAGTAACTCCGACTTCAGGAGCTCTCTCCCAGACCCAAGATAGTGACTGAGATGGCTGGATTTTTTGTTCCTCGTCCTGGACACAAGCAGCCATCGCAAATATTATCAACTTATAAATGCATCAGAATTGGAAACAGAAAAAATATTGTTAGTTGGGCTATTAAAGAATGAAGTCAGAAAGCAATGTTCACTATTTAATTGTAATGCACTAATGCAGTTGTACGTTAGATTTTCGATAAATTTACGCTAAAATTTACCTAGCAAAGGTTGCAAAATATTGAAACTGAAATTATTTTCGTTTATATACACTAAATCTACCAAAAAAGTGATGGGCCATTAGTTTAGCTGATCTTCCCTCCATGACACACACTCCTAGCAGGGTAGCCACCTTGATACACCAAGTTTGGCCGAATCTACTAAAACGCC